CACAATCTTTGATGACTGTACCTGTCACCTCCACTAACCCATAAACTCATGCGCATAGGGCTATGCTTTATCTCTGGGTCCTTCCTGCCTGGTACAAAGCATGCTTTCACTGTTGATGGATTAAATATATCAAAGACTAGCCATCGGTGAGACCTGGAGCTATTCTTGAGCCACTTCATCGCTGATCATTACATAGACTGCTTTACACCTCTAGGCTATTAGCCGCTTTAACCTCCGAGGTGGCAGTCAGTGCTTCTAGGTTGGTATTTCTGAGCCATTTACAATAGTAACACACAAATCGTAAAATCTAGAAAGCAAAATTAGAACAGTGCCACTGACCGAGATCGTGTAACAAGGACATTTGCCTTCGATCTGTTTGATCCTCTCCTGCCAGGACAAATGGACCTGCTGCAGACATACCTACCTGCCTAGAGAGTCTGCAAGGGGTAGGCACTAAGGGGCCGGAAGTGAGAAAGCGGAAGTGAGCAACGGTGTGGGCGTGGGCGCTTGGGTCTCTTTGAGGAGGTCAAAGAGCCTGGGGGTTTGATTTTGATGGGGAAGAGATCCCCAGGTAGGTGACTGGAAGGGCTCGCTGGGTAATAACCTCCATTGTGGAGCAGGGAGTGAATGGAGGGAAGTCAGCCTTCCCGCCTAACTTCCCGACTTTCCTGTTGCCACCATTTAGCTTAGGCACAGGATAGATAGGCAGGCCCGACGAGGGCTCTGAGGCTGTCGCTACCGGGTGCCATGCTGCCCCTCTCACCTTCCAGAAATTTCCTCAGTGAAGTTGACCATCTGAGGAATCTCTGTCCATTTTTGCGCAGTCATCAGGCTGGGTCTCTGTTCTGAACCCCCTATTGAAAAAAAAAAAAAAAAAAAAAGTGCCAGGAGAGACCTGTCTAGTGGAGGTTGATTTTCTTGGTCTCGACCCTCCATTTTTCAGATTCTCTCCAAATCTTTGCGGTTTTTCCATTCCGCAACCCTATGCGGTGTTGTTCTTTATGCTGTAACAGAGAACTATGCTCAGAGATGCCATTAATTAGGAAATGGACCTCAAGTCTGTGACGTCGGATCTTAGCACTGGGGCTCCCCACCTGTCAAAGCTGTGGTATAGTCTTTTTTTTTTTTTTCTGGAAGCTTAGGGTGGGGACTCTACCTTGTGTACCCGTTTCCCACCTGTTTCTCTTACCCTCCCCTTGCCTAGGGTGGAATTTGCCATGTAATAAGCTTTGGGAAAATCACTAAAGACAGAAGTGGTTCAAAAAAGTTTGTCTTTAGGTATGGAGTTCTCAATATCAAAACTTTTCAGTGCCGCGACATTCTCTGTAATGATTTGATTGACAATACTGGCCAGAACTTAATTCCTCATGAGCCAAACCCAAGTCTGTAGCTAGAACCTGAACAAACAAGAACAGTGCTTTCTTCTAGCACTGTCTTAAATGTGTCTTTGTAGAGATGCTGTTGGGTACCCAGTCTCTTAGATGTTACTGTTATCATTGCCCCAAGTCTTTGGGTAGTTCCTGTATTTTATTTATTTATTTTTATTTTCTCTTTATTTTATGTGTATGGGTATTTGGCTGCATGTACATCTGTGCATCTAATGTGTACAGTGCCTGCAGGGGCCAGACCACTTGTTGGATCCCTTGGAACCTGAGTTCCAGATAGTGTTAGCCACCATATGAGTGCTGAGAACAGAACCCTGGTCCTCTGAAAGGACAGTCACTGCTCTAAACCACCGAGTCATCTCTCCAACCCCTCTGTCTGGTTCTTCAATCCTTTATTTTCGATTGTGAAATCTGAAGTTTTGAAGATAAATTTCCCCTTTTAACTTAGTTGGGAAATCTGAACTGAAATGCTAAATGGCTACAAGTTTTGTTAAAAATATGTTGGTGGAGTGTGTTGTTCAGAGCACCCCTACCCCTTTTTTTGTGAGAAGTTTTATTAGAAAGGGAAGGGGTAGGGTAAGGAAAGAGAAAAGAGGTAAAGAGTCACAGAGAGAGGACAGAAGAGAAGAGGGAGACAGGAAAAGTCCTGTCTGCCTCAAGGGCACAGGAGGAAAGACAGTGGGAAAGAAGTCATCAGTGGGCGGGGTCTTCCTTTTAAAGGGGTCCTTTGCACCTGCATGCAGACTAGTAGTCATGGAACTGGGCTGACCAGGGTACTTCCTGGGTGCATTCTGCCAGGTGACAGGGCCAGGTCAGCGTAATGCCTGAACCCTTACGCCAATCCCTCAATGCTTGTACCTATGAAGAGTACTTACATAGACTTTTTTTTTTTAATGTCATGTTTGAAATTGAAAGTTATAGAATCATTTTCAGGTTATCCCAAAGCAGTATCATTTAGTCATTCACTCCTCACATGTGGCCTTCGTTCCCACCATGGCTAGGTAGTCTTTAGGTATAGGAGTATAGTGGTAAGATAGGCCAAGGTCTATGGCCTTCGGGAGCTTCTAGTCTGGTGCTATTTGCCACAACCAAACATTAAGTTTGTTACATATTATTTTAAATGTCATGAAAAAAATCTAAGTACCAAGGAGGAAATCAGTTGGGTGTTGGAAAGAGGCTGACCTTTATAGTGAGATAGACATCAGAGGGATGATGAATCGGGGGCATGGATTGCCTTCTTCTCTCATATTTCTCAATGTGATGGTAGTGTGGGTAGCCAGGCAACTCAGAGTCAAGTGTGGAGACTTGCCTCTGTACCATTGATTTTGTCTCAGATGTCATGCAGTCACAAGCTGCTTAATGACGGCCACATTCTAAGATACACACTAATAAGTCTACACAAACATAGGATGCACTTACCCAGACTGAGATGGCTTTGACATCAGTAGGTGATGTAATTTTATAGGACCACAATCGTGTGACATCCTTGACTGAAGCATCTGTGCAGCACATGACTTTAATTACAATCTCTAGGTTACCTCAGGGTATGAGCAAACAGCATTTCTCCATAGTTAAGTATCTAAAACATAATAAGCTTACATCATTTACAACTGACACCAATTACTGAATTCCTTATGGTAGAATGGTGGCTTATTCCGTGTTCATGTCACCATATGTGAGTAAGCAATATTAATTTACCCATCTAGACTTTTTTCTTTGTGGCATTTGTAACTGTTGGAAGGGTAATTCTGGCATGGTGTTGGGCACATTCATTTTAAACTACTCTTTTGGGTTAGAAGGCTCTTAATTATTTTTTTCTGAGGCAGAAAATATCTAAGAAAACACTTCAAAAATTTAAGGATGCAGTTTAGAGAATATAGGAAAACTGAATAATGAACACGGTCTTTCCAAAATATAGGCAGGTAGCTATAAAAAGAAAAGATTATAACTACTGTTCAATTCCAGCAAGTTACGATTCTAAGACTTTTTTTTTTTTAAAAAAATAGATTTGTGAAGACACAGATCAATATTTGTTGATCTATGCTTGTGTTAAAGAGCAGATCTGCATTGAGTGAGTTTGGTGGAGGGAGGAAAAGGACACTAGAAATTGAAATTTTTAGTAGTTTATTGAAACATTATAAATCCAGTTTTTGCTGCAGGAGGAAGTCATACAAAATGCTTGCTTGTATTCAGGGTACAAAGGACAACCAGAAAGTCACAGACACTCTTCTCTTTTTCTTCAAGAATATGGTCTCTTTCTGAGAAATATTAATTAAATTAATTATATCCCTATTTTATTTACTTGAGAGTTCATTGAGTTTTTAATCAAAAAAAGGGGCAGGGCAGAGGGGCTAATGATCTGTTTAACAAAAAGGTTATAGTTCATTACCATGCATCTGAAAATTATGTCTTCCTTCAACACACAAATTAATCAGGCATGAGCTAGGAGCTGAGGAAGCCAAGAAAACAACTAAAAATAACAAACAGTTGTTATGGATTTGACTTTTTTCTTTTGTATGTGTGCAGCTTCGATAGTAAAATCTGATTATAGTTCATCTAGGCTTCGTTGGGTCTGGATGTTCATCAGGGCTCAAAATCAGTTTGGCACAGTGCCTTGATAGCTGTCGGGGGGTGGGGGGGTGGGGGGCGGTGAATCACTAGAGAAATTGCAAACTATGTGACTCACCTTCCTGCAGAGTGATGAAAAAGAGGAAGGGATCAGTATCATGTAAATTATAAACTGATAATTCACAAGCATCCTGTGGATTCTTGGGGCTGCATAACTCTTTTAAGTTTTAATGTATTAACCTAAATACCTTCCTTTTCTGTGTATTTGGGACATTTCAGACACATTAATCATTCCAGATTTTAGGGACTTCTATCACTTTAACTTTAACACTGTTGAATTTAAATCCCATACTTTTTTTTCTGAAAGTGAGTAAAGAAAGTAATGGAACCTTTCTCTCTAGTTTGCTAGCCTCATCTAGGCCAAAATATTGGTTTTGGATACTGTACATTAGTTGCAGATTTGAGGAGGTAGAAGTGATTGTCTTAGTGCTGGCTCCCAGGATGGACAAGAAAATAGAATTTACGTAGGTTTGATTTAGTGCTTTGTAGTTCTAGAGGGAACATGTTAGGGTACTAGGAGGTTCTAACATTGTTTTCACCACCATTTAAATTATTTCAGGGCACGGCATTGGTAGAATATGTAAACAATGTCAGAGCACAAATTCCCCCTTAAATACTAATTTGTTTGCTCTCCATGTAAGCCTTTATGCTCATTGTATATTTTCTGTAGGAACTTTTAGGAACAGATAGACTACACACATTTCTTTGGATAATGGAACTCAACCTTTCTAGGGATTTTTCTTTGCTCATCCTAAGAACACCTACCTATATAGTCCCCTCCTCCCTAGACAAACTGACTTGGAAACTAAATACAGATTTTTTTTTCAGACTCCTGTAGTCATTTTTTTTTTTTTTTTAAGGAACTTAACATTTTCCGCACTTCCCTTACAGGAAATCGATACTTTATCATCACATGGAGATGAATCATTTGTGTTTGAGAGCTGCAGAGGCCAGGACAGATCTCCTGTGAGGAGCCATGTGAACCAGGCATCCCTGTCCTATTACTCTCTCCACCCCCCTTCACCTTCAGACTCAACTCAAGCTATGTCTTTCAGGAGGCAAGTGAAAAACTTCGTGAAAAATTACTCAGAGGCTGAAATAAAAGTCAGGGAAGCAACTTCCAATGACCCCTGGGGTCCCTCGAGTTCTCTGATGCTAGCTATCAGTGACATGACTTTCAACGCGGTCTCCCTCTCAGAGATTATGCACATGATGTGGCAACGACTCAGTGACCATGGGAAGAACTGGCGCCATGTGTACAAATGCCTTGCCCTGATGGACTACCTCATCAAGAATGGCTCCAAGAAAGTTATTCAGTGTTGTAGAGAGGGCTTGTGTAACCTTCAGATGCTGAAAGATTTTCAACACATAGATGAAGCTGGAAAAGATCAAGGTAACAGTTCGTAAAAAATGAGACTGTGGTGAAGACAGGAATGTAGGGCAGACTGAAAGCCTGGACTGGAGCAAAGAGGTTCTTGATTTTGAGAGTGTCTTGTAATGTAGTCTAGGATGTCCTGAGCTTGCCCTCCTGCTCTAACCTCCCACATGCTAGGATAGCAGGTATACACCATCACATTGGGCTTGAACAGTTGCCCTTAACTGTCCCCACCATCTCTCTTCTTGACAGCCTGGTTCTCATTTCCATCTTCTGGGTGGCACTTGGGAGAACAGTGTGTTTATCCAAAACACACATATCAGTGACACCTCATAGAAAAGCAAATGCAGCAAATGAAAGTAGGTGGCATGGCAGTTAGTATATTGATGTCACTACAATTCATAATTATAATTAGATTTGCATTTAGTCATAAATCAGAGAAGTGTTTCTAGGGACTCTGGAATCTTCAAAGGCTATTGAGATAGATACACCTAATAGAAGTGTAGAAATTCAGGTCATAAAATAATTCTGGGTCTGGAGAGGAGATGACATAGGAAAGGGCTATAGAATATTGAAGGGGACTGGTACCAAATCATTTGAAAGGCAAAGAGCCAGTATTCCTTTTCTTTGCATTAGAAATGTGAAGTTATAATTTATATTTTAAGTGATAGGCTTTAAATCTTGAGAAGATAATAAAGTTCACTATACTTTATGGTTACTGCATTTTAAAACTACATTTTTTAAAATTCAAAAATTACACAAAAATAGTTTCTATGTACCCTTCTTTATCTACACAAACAATTTCTCTAATTACTAACATCAGTGAGGTATATTTGCTACAAGTAGCGCCAGTATTGATTGTGTTCATGGCTTATATGCATCACACAGTTCTGTAGGTTTTGGAAAGGCTTGATTCCCTATGTCTACCATCCAGTGTTAAACAGGGTCCATTCACTTACCTAAGTCTACCTTTCCCAGATGTCAAGAACTTAGAGCCATAAAGCTTCTTTAGATTGGTTTCTTTCACTGGCAGTATACACCAAAGTCCCTCTATATCCTTCCATAGCTTGAGAGCTTGCTCTTTTTTCCTTTCCTCTTTATAAAAAGTTTGAGATATAAATCACCATACAAATTGCACACTTGGATACATACATGTATATATGGATTTTAAATAAAAGGTACATATAATATGTAATTATAAAGTTGTTTATTATATTAAAAGTTGTTTAAAAATATAAATTGTATTATCCTAAAAGATATACATACATACACATATATCCCTTGCCTTTTGTGTTCATGTGTATTGTTGATTGTTTGAGTCAGAATCTCATGTGGACTTGAGTTTATTGAGTAGCTGAGTTGACCTTGAACTCCTGATCTTCCTACCCCCATCACTGAATTCTGGGATTAGTGGTGTATGCCAGACTCATGTAAGTGTGCCATTTGTTGGTTGTTGGTGTTAATTATATTTACTGTGTTGTGAAGCCATCACCACTCTTGTTTAAACTTTTTCTTTTCAAGTCACACTGTCAGCATTAAGCAATAACTCCTCATCCCCATTCCACTAAGCTTCTACTCTCTTCAGTAACTTGACTGTTAAGTCCACTCACATATAAGTGGGATTTTATTGTGTTTTTTCCTCTCCATCAGGCTTATTTCTCTCACCCTATGGTTCACAAGGCTCATCAGTGTGGTAGGATGAATCAGAACTTCATTCTTTTATGGTTGAATATCATTTTATTTTCTGTGCTTACCACTTCTTAAACAAATGTGTTCATCTATTGATAGACTCATGGGGTGTTCTACTTGTGAGCTCATGTGAATAACACTGCAGTGAGCATCCGTGTATCAGTTCAGGTCTCTGCTCTCAGTTCTCTGGGGTGTATATAGAACAGTAGAATTGCTACATGTTCTAATGTCAGTGTTTAGCCCTTTGAGGAACTTCTGAACCCTTTTAGCAGTGCAAGAGGGTTTCACTTTTCCTGTATCCTTACATTCCCACCAGGAGTGCAAAAGGGTTTCACTTTTCCTGTATCCTTGCTAACACTTGTTATTTTTGTTCATCTTAAAACTATGGTTAATCCTGCTGCACATGAAGATGGACCTTGCTGTATTTTCTTTTGCATTCCCCTAAGAATCATGATCTCAAGCATCATATCCATGCTGGAAATACAGTTGTTGTCTTTTAGAAATGTCGTTTCAAGTCCATTGCCTGTTTTTAAATGAGTTCTTGTATTGTTGAATTTTGAAAGTTCCTTATATGTTCTGGGCACAAAACCCTTACCAGACAGGTAGCTTAAAAGTATCTTCTGCTAGTCTGTAGATTGTCTCTTTGCTTTCTTGATGTGTCTGACCTCTGATGAACAAGAGTTGATTTCTATTTTTAAACAGAGTCTTACTATGTAGCGCTAGCTGGCCTAGAACTTTGGTCTGTAGACCAGACTGGCCTTGAACTCACAGAGATTCACCTGCCTCTGCCTCCTTGGTTCTGGGATTAAAAGTGTGTACCCTCACATCTGTCTAAAAGTTTAAACTTTAGTTGAAGTCCAATGTACTTTTTTATTTGGTTGCTTTACTTTGCATATCATATATAAAACAAATTATTGTCAAATACAAGGTCATAAAGGTTTATACCTATATTTTCTTCTAAGAGTTTTGTAGTTTTAATTCTCTGTCTTAATTAGGGTTTCTATTTCTGTGATGAAACACCATGACCAAAAAGCAAGCTGGTGAAGAAAGGGTTTATTTGGCTTATACTTCCACATCACTGTTCATCATTGAAGGAAGTCAGGGCAGGAGCTCAATCAGGGCAGAAACCTGGAGGCAAAAGCTGATGCAGAGGCCATGGAGGGTGCTGCTTACTGGCTTGCTTCCCCATGGCTTTTTTTTTTTTTTAGCCTGTTTCCTTAGAGAACCCAGGGCTGCCAGCCCAGGGATGGTACCACCCTCAATGGCCTGAGCTATCCTCCATCAATCACTAATCAAGAAAATGACCTATACCTGGATCTTCTGAAGGCATTTTCTCAATTTAGGTTCCCTCTTTCAGATAACTCTAACTTGTGTCAGATTGAAATAAAACTAGCAGAACATTCTCATATTCAGATCTTGGATTTCTGTTTAGTTGATATTTCTGTATACAAGATAGGAGCTGTCTTAGGGTTTCTATTTCTGTGGAAGACATCATGACCACTGCAACTCTTGTAAAAGGAAACATTTAACTGGGGCTGGCTTGCAGTTTCAGAAGTTTAGTTCATTGTTGTCATGGTGGGAAACATTGTGGCATGCAGACAGACATGGTGCTGGAGAAGGAGCTGAGAATTCTACATCTTGATCCACAGGCAGCAGGAGAAGATGGAGTATTGGGTGGTGCTGTTTGGGGAGGCTTAGGAGGTGTGACCTTGCTGAGGGAAGGCTTTAAGAGCTTAAGGCCTCACTTTTTTCCAGCTGACTTTCTCTGCTTCCTGCTTGTGGTTGAGTGTGCTTCCTACTCCAACCATTGTGCATGCCTGGTGCCATGTTTACCTATGGTGGTGGACTCTTACCCTCTGGAACCATAAGTCAGATAAGCCCTTCCTTCTGTAAGTTGTCTTGGTCATGGTATTTTTTTTTCTAACAATAGTGGTGAGTGTAGACAGCCCTTCCTTGTTCTTGCTTTTAGGAGGAAAGAATTTAGGCATTAAAAAATGATGTTAGCTATGGATTTTCTTTTCTTTCTTTTCTTTTTTTTGGTTTTGTTTTGTTTGTTTTGTTTTGAGACAGGGTTTCACTATGTAACTCAGGCTGGCCTGTAGCTCACAGTCCTCCTGCCTGAGCCTCCCAAATGCTAGGATTACAGGTTTGTAACACTATATTGATTAGCTGTGGGCTTTTTATATTTACTCAGGTTGAAGAGGTTTTATTCAATTCCTGACGTGTTAAGTGTATTTCAAATTTATTATTATTATTACTACTACGTGTGTGTGTGTGTGAGTGTGTGTGTGTGTGTGTGTGTGTGTGTGTGTGTGTGTGTACATGTGTAAATCGAGCTTGGGTCATCAGGTTTGGCAGACAGCTCCTTTACCCTCTGATCCATTCCTTCTTCCACCCCCCCACCCCCTTGAGTGTATTTTAAAACTAAGAACCCATGTTGACTTTTGTCAAGTGCTTTTTATGCTTCTATTGAGATGATGTGTTTTAAAATCCTTTTATCTTGTGAATATGGTCTAAGACCTTGATTTTCTGCATTGCTAGCATAAGCTAGATTTAATCATGGTTCACATTTTACTTTTTAAGTGTTTATTTTAGATTAGGTTTTGGGCTTAATGATGAATTGGAGAACTCAGGAAGAGTTCTCATCCTGCTGTGCTGATTCATTTAGAAATCTTTATATAAATCAACTTTTCACAAAGATTAAATTTTTATTTATTAGATGAGGTCTCACTATCTTACTATGTAGTCCAAGCTGACCTCAAGCCTACAATTGTCCGCTTTTGCTTTCTGAGTCCTGATATAAATTTATTATTAGGTAGTAAAACAATGCTAATTAAAATGTGCAGGTGTTCCCTTGAAAATTCCAGAGAGGCTATTTTATCACCGGACTGAAAACTTGGATGACTCTGTAAAGCAGAAAGCCTATGAGCTATTCAGACAGACCTGCTTATGCATTCATTATAGCTTTTCCATGAGCAAGGTATGAGCATGTTAAAATCCATCTTTATGAAGGTTTTTCAGTTCTCTAACACTTGAGCTCAGGATCAAACATGTGAACCAAGTACACAGCAGTTTCAGTAGTATCTCTCAGTGACTGGTTATCTCTAAGACAGCAAGCAAAGCACGGATCAGAGCAAACATATCCATATAGTATATTTATCTGTTCATTTTGGAAGGGGTATCAGCCATTGATTGATTGTATTGGCTCATGTCACATTTATTAATTGAATATTTACCAATGAATGAAAATAATTACATTGAGGGATATTACTTTATCTTTTACACATCACTCTTTAATTTTTATTTCCCAATGAATGTTGTGTTGTAGA